TTCACTTTGGAACTGCAAGCCACATGATCCTGCCCACCATTAAACCATCTTTCCAAAGAGCCTCCATGTTTCCAGGGTCTTCTTCCCCACTTGGAACTGAACTCAACAGGTGAAAGTGTGAGTCAGTCTTGACAACATCAAGCTAAGATGTAATTAGCCACAAATAGGCAGCCATATTCTAGTCTAATGTGCCACATGAAGTTTTTGAGTGACCTAAAAACATAGGAGGAAGAAGGAGTCTATGTTAGGTTACGTTAACCATGATTCAGATGATAAAAATCATGGTTTTGCCAACACTACCAACCAGGTGTTGTGGACTGCCAGCGGCTGGCGAACTTAGCAGTAGAGTCGGACAATAGTGAGGAGGTTGGGGAGGAACCTGGGCCATTCCTGGAGGCTGAGGAAGGCTCAGATGAGGGCTCTGCATCAGAGGCAGAGATGGGGGCCAGGGCAGGCTGGCAGTCATCAGCTGCCTTTGGGTTCAGACAGCAGTGAGGCGGGGGAGTTTCTGGAAGCGGTTCCCAGTCTGCGCATGCGTAGAACTGCCAAAAGAAAGGCACAATTGAGAACTCAGGGTTGACATGGGAGTAAGGCCACAGGTGGATGATGAATGGTCCCTCCCATCAGGATGAAAAGAGAAGCAAAAGGGGAGGGGGCTTTTACAGGAAACAACTTGCTCGTTCCTTTGTTCCAGCCTCGTGAGGATTTCATCTGTATAACCCAGCCCTTCCCTGCCACCACTGAGTGTGGAACTATTTACCGGGCAGCATTCCAGGAATGATAAAGGTCTGAGCTAATTAGTATACCTTCACAAGACTGTTTGCCAAGCTGTTGGCTGACTGTGAATGAAATAAATTCACATTAATGTAATAAAAGAGGTTTTTGTCAAGGACTCAGAATTGACTAGTGCTTTTTTGAGGAGGCCTAGGACAGAATACCAGGTTTAATGAGTTGTATGTGAACCCAAGTAGTTCATCCGGCTCCTGCATTTTTCCTGGGCAGCAAAGGTGACTAACAAGCAAGTATTGGAGAACCATGACACCAGACATATCACTAGAAGACAAAATCATGAAAGTGCATCTCACTTAACTTTGTTCATATCATATAGGGGAATTCACTGGAGAAATCAATTATGTTGCAGGATCCAATCTGGGTTGGTCACTAGGACCAGTTTTTCCCAGAGGTGCTTTTTTTCAGGAGGCAACTGGACTTGTTTTTTCTTTGAAGACGTTTAGATTCTCATCCAAGAAGCCTCTTTAGCTCTGACAGGATGGTGAGGAAATGGAAGGATTTATGCCCTTGCAGACAGCTGGTCATTTGCATCTTTTCTGAGGGTCGTTGAAGCACTTGGAGGTTTATCTGTGTCCTCACCTGAGTAGTGCTCTTGGTTCCTGTAGTCTGCATTTTTTTCTGGAAATCTGTAGTAGCAATAGAGATCCTGTAGATGGCGCAAGCAGCAAACTGCTGTGTCTAATACAGGGGCCTCTTTGCATGATCTCACTCCCTACTATCTTGGGCTGGAAAGTCCTGGACTTATATGTGATCTCACCTTACTAACATCACCACTATTCTTAAGGATTGGTTGAGGGGATTCACCAATCCAAATGCAGTATCTAGGTTGCCTTTGTCTACTTGTAAAAACCCTATAAAATGTAATAAACGCTGCCCGGGCAGTCAGACATCTTAGCACCCTGCACAATGACTGGTCTTTGAACTCCATTAGAAATCCATTCCTATTCCCACACCCTTCGACACCATTCAATGATAAACCTCCAAGTGCTTCAATGACCCTCTAAAAAGATGCAAATAACCAGCTGTCTGCAAGGAATATAACCAGTGCCTTCAAAAGTTGTGAGTGCTCCATCACTGGAGGCTTTTACGAAGAGACTGGACACGGCCACTTATCTGGAATGGAATACGATCTCCTGCTTGGGCAGTGGGTTGGACGAGAAGACCTCCAAGGTCCCTTCCAGCTCTGTCATTCTGTTATTCCTACAGAGGTTTGTTCTGTTCCTTTCGATCCAGATTTCTGGAGAGTTAAGATTTGGTGGGTCCATTCAGTACAGGAGGAGAGAGCATGCTGTGAACAAAAAGTTAGAATATGGCAAGTGTTCCACTTTGCATATTTTCTCTTTATTATTTTGACGTTGCCAGGTGTTGAAATTTAAGAGCTGACCAGTTGCTGTAAGGCTGATGCAATGTAAGGCTGATGCAATGAGGTTGAATCAGCATTGGTATTGCTTTCTTAAAGCTATGTATGGGTCCACAGAAGTCCTTACCTGTTTAAGAGGTGCCTATATAAAGGCAGCCATTAGAGGGCATGTTCTCTTTGGGTCCTGTATCCATTGCAGAGCTCTTCGTGTAGAGTTACCAAGATTGATTGCTTATCAGGTATTTGCCTACCACGTATATTTCTGTATATGTCTTGTACATAAACCACTATTAAATGTCTAAGTCTCCGTGTGCTGTGTTTTGCTCCTGGATTGTCTCATAATAGTAGTCACACTACTATTACGACAGCTTATATTTGGGGTAGGTTTATTTTGACACTCTTGATCTTTAATTGCCGAAGGTCTTCAGAAATCGGAGCATGCAAATAATAATATTACACTTGCAGAGCCAGTTTGGTTATTGTAAAGGCGGCAGGCTAGAAGCTGTGAGACTAAGAATTCTAGTTCTGTGTTTGACGCAAAGCCAGCTGGGTCATCTTTGGCCAGTCACTCTCTCTTAGCCCTAGAAGGAGACAATGGTAAGCTACTTTCCCCCCTCCCACCCCTCAAAAGAAGTGTCTTGCCAAGAAAACTACAAAGACTAGTTCAGGCAGTTGCCAGATGTTAAAAATTGTTTTCCGAAGCACCAGAAGACAAGAAGCACTGCATGAAAACTAATCAAGGAGAGATGCAACCTGGAACTAAGGAGAAACTTCGTGACAGGGAGGACAATCGATCAGTGAAATGGCTTGCCTTTAAAAGTTCTGGGTGCTCCAACACTGGAGGCTTTTAAAAAGAGACTGGATAGCCACTTGTCTGAAATGGTATAGGGTCTCCTGCTTGAGCAGGGGGTTAGATTAGACCAGCGTTTGCCAACTGGTGGGACGCAAGAAAATTTCCGTGGGCTGCAGAGAAATCTCACCCCCAGAGCACCCCCCGAAAGCAATTAATCCAGGCTGCGCAGAAACACAAGGCTGCTCTGCCCACATGGCCTGCGGGAACCCTCCCTGCTCACTCACTCCTTACCCAGCAAACTTGTCTGCTAGGTTGCCATTTTTCCTTTTTCCAACCATCATCTGTTCTGCTGTGCCGGGAGATTCAGATTAGCTAGGAAGCAGGAAATGGTTGGATTTCTTGCTTTCTAGCTAAGCACAGCCGAACCTCCCTTAGGACTGAAGGTTTGCTTGCAAGCAAACTCAGTGCAGACTCATGGCAAGCAAATTTGAGAGACTGAGCTAGCCGATGGCAGATAGATAGATCACTGAATGATTCTATGAACAACTCAATCTCCTGCTTTGCTTGATTTTGGATAAAAGTTGCTTTTTTTAATAAAAAAAATTCAATATTTACATACATGGTGTGTTGTGAGTTAATTTTGAGTTTATTTGCAAGCAAATTTTATGTGACAGACTGAGCTAGCCGATGGCAGATAGATAGATTTCTGAATGAATCTGTGATTCTGTGAGCAACTCAATCTGCCTGCTTTGCCTGATTTTGGGTAAAAGTTGCTCTTTTTTTATAAAAAAATTCAATATTTATATAAATATTTATAATATTTACATACAAGCCATGCCCAGCCAGTCACATGACTACCAAGCCACACCCACAAATTAGGCCACACCCACAGAACCAGTTAGTGGTCCCTGGGATCTAAAATTATGAGTTTGGTGGTCCCTGAGGTCCAAAAGGTTGGCGACCCCTCGACTAGACAACCTGCAAGGTCCTTTCCAATGCTGTTATTCTGTTATTTGCACTCAAAAGCCCTGTACAGATGTACTCTATTGCAACTTAATTCCTATCTATTTCCTCTTGCAGAAAGATCTGGTTGATAAAAAGGCCATCGAGAGGTCTGGAATCAATGGAATACATTTATTTAAAAGCAATTTTAAATATTAAAAAAGTAGAAATTAACACATACAGTACTCAAACGGTCACATTAAACACATAAGAAAACAAGTGTACTGATGGAGGAGGAGTGTAACATTCAAAGGAGATTTCAATATTGTCTAGAGTACAATAAGATCTGTTTTTCTTCTACAGGTGGCTGCAGTATGTCATAAAAAAATAAATAGCAATTGCTGTTCAACAGTAAGATAACACATCGTTTCCAGAACTTACTTCCCTCCCTGGGGGAAAAAAGAACAAACCTCAAAAGCAAGCAGGCTTTCCAAATATATCATGAAATGTACAAAATTGCAGATAGTGGCTCTTGAGTTTAAATAGAACCTTGTACTTAAAACTCAGCCTATATATCATACATTGCATCTTAATTATCCTATGGACTCTAAATCAAATAGTCAGCTCTTGGTTCCCGACGGAACTCAAATTTTATTTAAAAAACCCATATGCTACTTCAAAAAGCTTACAAAATAATAGACATTTTGACTCTACATCATTTTACACATCTTTATAGGTTCACTTTTATCTGGTTTTTCTTTTTAAACATGTGGATGTTGAGTTTGTTTTAAAAGAAATGGACAAAGCGGACGAGTTTTCTCCTTTAATGCACTGGAAGGATGTTTAACGAGTAATATGGAATGCTAACTTGTTTTTATTCGAGCGTTTGTATAAACAGCATTAAGTCTGAACACATGGACATTAGCAAGCAGGCTGGATCATTCATCTTATACCTTTGAACAAAATGCCCGTGACTTGGACCGAAGCAATGCGTTTGAAAAGCCACTTTCCAATAAGAGCTGATAAATGCTTTGCTTTCTTTAATGTTAAGAGTTCTTAAACTGATTGTATTTTCTTGCATGTTAACCACTCAAATAAACATTTTTTTTAAAAAAAAAGTCCATATGGCTTTGGCTATGGATGGTTTGCAAAACTCTTACTTAATGTTTCTTTGATTTAACCGTGCAACTAATTGGAGCTCGTGCTTGGAGTGAAATGCATTGTTTTGAGATGGAATTTCAACAGACTGCGCTAGAGGAAATGAAACTGGGTCTTTTGGCAAAGTAGCTTTTTAAACTAGTTTCTGCCCAGTAAAACTGCAAAACATGTAATGAAACACTAGCTCATTTCTCCCTCCCAAAAGGAAATATTTTTATGTTCTGAAAATGTTTTGGAAGAAGTGCTGTGACCCAGCAATTCTCCGCTGTTCATCAGACATCTTTTGTAGGCTTCCATACAAATCTGTAAAAATAAAAAAAATTAAATTGTACTGTCGCTTTAAGGGATCAGCTCCTGAAATTGCAAGAAGTGGCACTTTTCGTCAAGGTCTTGCAGAAATTTCAGAGACAACCTGATTATGCAGCAAAGAGGTGTGGCTATTGTGCAAAAGCTTGAAGACTTCTCCCAAATCATGTTTGAAGCATGCAGTCTTAACAAATAAATATGTAGCTAAAAGGACTACGCCCTTACTACCTTGATTGAAAAGAAGACGAATGAATTGAAGCTGCAGTCATTATATTTTAGCAGTCTAATAATCAAAGATCCGAACAGATCTTCCCTATATTATTATTAACTTTGTGGCAGCACTGTTCAATTCAGGAAAGAAAACTACTTCCAGATGTTCTCGTGGCTTCTCTTAACAACTGCTTTTTTTTTTTTTTTCAGGAAAGGGTATTTTTCCCCCATTTTTTTTTTTCACTAATGATTTTGATTTCTCCGGGCAGTAATATGAAAACGATATGGTGACTCGAATACAAGTATGGCTTAGGTGGAAGGAAGGTTGAAATCTCCCAATAGCTTAATGAACCGATTAAGTCAGCCAGCAAAAACTCTTGTGATCAGCCGATATTTCGAACTAGGTAGTAAAGACAGAAAGCTGACAAATGTCGCTTAAGTTCTTGCCTGAACAGAGACTTATAAGCAGAAATATGAAGAAACCATGCACGCAGGGATGTACTTTATATGGAGACTCTGAAAGAAAACCTCCAGCCAGAAATCTTGCGTGGTTTCCCTTTGCGAGACTGAATTTATTTTTATTGAAGACATTGAGATGGGAGCCCAGTGAGGTCAAAGACCAAAGTTACAGAATACAAACATGAACATGTGGCTTACCACCATAAAAATTCTACTGTTTTTTTTTTTACCTGTAGCATTAGTGCATATTTCTGTTCATTGGATGGATACATCGGACACATAGATATATGTATAATATATATATATTTTCTAAAGGAATACCAAGGAAGAGGATTTCACAAGCTGTCAATGGTGCAGGTGGGGTAGCCATCGACGGACACCAGCCGTTTCTCTGGGGGAAAAGAGAAACTGCCGCTCGCTATCTACTTCCGAGATTACTGATGTATTATTAGGGACGGTAAATTCTGTACAGCTGAATGGGAATGAATGGGACTAACAGTTTATTTAGAAAGCTGGCAGTTCATACACACAGACAATTTTTTTTTAAGTGCTTGATGCCAAGAATGGCTTGAGCAACCCAATAAGGCATGCCAGCTCCGACAATGACCATAATACTGGCAATGGCAAAGGAACACCTTCTATATACAATTACAGGTATGATGAGCCCTTCGTAGGGGCAGAGCCGAGTTCTTGTCTTGTTAACAGCAGTTATATATATATACACCAATATCCACAATTATGCACAGAATTACAGGGATGCAGCAGCTGTCTTGCTTCGTGCGTAAAAGCCTGACTTGCAGGAACAATGTGCAATACTCAAGTTTTCTGGCTGGAGTTAGTCTGATAAAATGTGGACGAAGGAGACGGGGAAGACCCCTTTCCGTTCCGGCTTTCCTTCAATGTGGCCGATCTGCAAAGAAGAGCCAAGGGTGTGAGGCCTAATTTGGCAGGAGGAAGTCTTGTGAGTGTTAAGACCCAGGTCCCCAAACATGACAAATTCCATAAAGTTAACTCAAAGATTCCTTTATTAGGAACGCCAGCAGCCCCGGCCAAAAAATCTCTCTCTTTCACAGCAGGCTAAAAAGTCTGTCCAGCAGGGATATCAATAGTTGTCTGTCACACCTATTCATCTCCGCCCCCTGCCTTTTATCCCCAGAGCTAGAGTGGGGCTTCCTTCCCAAGGACCAGCCCATAGATTTCCACTGCTCTCCTCTCCTCTGCCTTCTGTGCATCTGCATGTCGGGCACTGAACCCAGCTGTTCCTCCTCTTCCTCATCAGCCACCTCCAGACCTGGGGGCTGTTGACTCTCCATCTGAGGGCTGACGGACAGCCCAGGCTCCACCCCTCTCTCTCTCTCTGTCGGCTCCATTCCCGCTTCCCCCTTGGAGGTCTCAGGATGCCTTGATGCTGACTCTGACTCCCACGCCTCCTCCTCCTCCTCCTCTGATTTGGCTGCTGGAGGAGCCAGCAGCCGACAGGTCACAAGATCGAGGAGGTAGCGTTTGAGAGGCGTCCACCATGTGTGCAGGTAGCCCTTTACTTACGACCACAGTTCAGCCCCCAACATTTCTGTTGCTGAGCGAGAACAAGTGGATTTTGCCCCATTGCACAACCTGTCTTGCCACAGCTGTTCAGGGATTTACAAGGTTTGGCAAATAGAAACATTACAAATTGTATGGATAATCGTCGCAAAGGTGCTTTTCAAGAAGCAACTGGACTTTCTGGGGGTTTTTTTGAAGACATTTTGCTTCTCACCCAAGCAGCTTCTTCAGCTCTGACTGGATGGTGAGGAATGGAAGGTTTTATACTCCTTGCAGACAGCTGGTCATTTCTGTCTTTAAGGATAATAAATCCTTCCATTTCCTGTCTGCGAGGAGTATAAATCCTTCCATTCCCCACCATCTAGTCGGAGCTGAAGAAGCTGATTGGATGAGAAGCAAAACGTCTTCAAAGAAAAACTAGAAAGTCCAGTTGCCTCTTGAAAAAACAACGCCCCTTTGCGACAACCATGACCTGGATGATTCTCCATAGACACTGATAATGAGGTTCGTGTCAAATTTCCAGGGGCCATGTAAACTCTTAGGTTTCTTCTCCCAGATGCAATAATGTCAAAACAGCCAATGACGGTTGTATGAAACCTTGCACTTAACATCACAGTATCCGCGGTGGCGCAGTGGCGCAGTGGTTAGAGTGCAGTACTGCAGGCTACTTCTGCTGACTGCCTACAATTTGGCAGTTCAAATCTCACCAGGCTCCATCCTTCCGAGGCGGGTAAAACGAGGACCCAGATTGCTGGGGGTGCTGGAATTCCCATCGCTGGGCAGTGTGGTCACGTGATGTTGCATTTTATGACCAGGTCCCTTAGCGATAAAAACTCCAGTCCCAACGATTGCTGTTAAGTGAGGACCTCTTGTATACTGTTAGGTATTATATCCTCAAAAGTTTATTTTATTTCACTGTTAAAAGTAGAGGGGAAAAAAAAATACTTACCCACCACTCTTGATCCTCCTCTCCGGTTACGATAATAATTTCACCTTCCACAAACGTAAGCTCATCATCGTTATCCGCTTGGCAATCGTAGATTGTCTTCACCCTCTTGACTTTATTCTTCCCCTGAATAACAAAAACAAACAGGTGCTATTTTAGCTAAGATGGAACCAAGATTGTTTATCCTTTAGGTTGCTCAATGTAAGTGGAATAGGACAACGTGCCACAGCCAACTTGCCACGGCCGATGCACCGTGGGGTAACTCACCCTGGGACAATTTAACAATTTCTACTTGATTATTTAAAATAAAAAATCATAATTTTTACCATTCGTATTTCATTCTGTCCCTCCTCCTGCATCTTTTCTTTAATGATTGTTTCTATTTCTACTCCATTCCTATTTCTATTCCATTTCCTCAATATTACTGTAACTCTAGTCCTGCAGCAAGTTGACCCACAGTGAGTTGGCCATGCCAAGTTGGCTGTGGTGAATTAACAGAGTTGGAAGGGACCTTGTAGGTCATTTAGTCCAACCCCACCACCCAAGCAGGAGACCCGACTCCATTTCTGACAGATGGCAGTCCAGTCTCTTCTTGAAAGCTTCCAGTGTTGAAGCTCCCACAACTTTCAAAGGCAAGCTATTTCATTGGTTGATTGTTCTCATGGTCATTTTTTCCCCCTTATTTCCAGGTTGAATCTCTCTTTGATCATCCATTGTTCCTTGTCTGGCCTTCGGGTGTTTTGGAGAATAGCTTGACCCCCTCCTCTCTGTGGCAGCCCTTCAAATATTGGGAGCACTGCTATCCTGTCTCCCCTGGTCCTTCTCTTCAATAGACTCGCCATTCCCAGTTCCCAGAACTGTTCTTCATATATTTTAGCCTCCAGTCCCCTAATCATCTTGGTTGCTCTTCTCTGCACTCTTTCTAGTGTCTCAACATCGTTTTTTTATAGTGTGGTGACCACAACTGGACTTGTCATAGACCCAACTGTAAGACCAATGAGCCTATTCCGATGCAGTCAGAAAATCTAGGACAGGTTTCTATGCCGCAGAGATGAGGCCGGTCCTCTTGTGAGTAGGCAAGTTGGCAAAATCTTTCCATTTGACGATGCAATTGTCTCTTGTGGAACAGGGATAACGCAGAACAATCCTTGTTTTACTGATCATCGAGGAACCTAAAGATTCCTTGCTCTCAAAGCCGCTGCATTTTATAAGTATAATTTATCGCGTCGCACAGGTGCATTTCCAAAACGCTGAATTCACACAAATGCCAATAATTGTGTCAAGCCAATCAACATACCTGCGCCTAGAGATGTACAAATCTGGAGAATAATTAAGTCCTGCTAAGCATCTGATTTGCCTATTTGTTTTAGGATTACAGGTAGTCCTCGCCTTATGACCACAATGGACTCCAAACCCTCTGTTGCTAAGTGAGACAGTTAAATCAATTTTGTCCCATTTTACGACCTTTCTTGCCACCGTTGTTCAGTGAATCTGCAGCTGTTAAGTAAGTATCAGGTTTGTTAAGTGAACCTGGGACACTGTGACCGTCATAAATATGAGCCAGTTGCCAAGCATCTGAATGTTGATCCCTTGACCACAAGGATGCTACAATGGTTGTTAAGTGTGAAAAATGGCCATGTTATTTTTTTTCAGTGCTGTTGTAACTTCAAATGGTCACTAAATGAATGGTTATAAGTCAAGGACTACCTGTATGGCACCATCAAAGCTGACACCACTCAGGGCATACACCAACTCAAAGAAGTAGTGCAAGATTGGAAGATATAGAGAGATCTGGCCCATAGAATCACCAAGAGTCGGACACGACTGAATGGACATTACATTATCATCATCATCATCGATCTGTGTGGCCCGCCAGTGGCCAGTGACGAGGAACATGGGCCAGTCCTGGAGTCTGGGGAAGGCTCTGATGAGTGCTCTGCATCAGAGACAGAGATGAGGCCAGGGCCGTCCGACAGTTAGCAGCTGCCTTCAGTTAGAGATCAGTGGGGCAGAAGAACAGCTGAAGCCTGTTCCCAGTGTGCGCATGCACAGAGCTGCCAGACGAAGGGAACAACTAAGGAACAAGGGTCGACTCAGGAGTAAAGCCACAGGTGGAAAGTGAATAGCCCCACCCATAGGGAATAAAGAGGAGTGAAAGGGGAGTGGGGTTTGCAGGAGACAATTAGTTCAATTCATTAGAGTGAATTCATTAGCGTTCTTGACTTCTTGCCAAGTAATTGCTGCTACAGTGTGGTGTTTGGAAGACATCGGTCTGGCAACTCTCCAAGCCTGATAAAGGCCTGGAGTTGTGAAATCTCACAGAAGACTGTTGGCCGGGACTTTGCTGGAGAGGAATTCACTTAAAAGGGGTTTTATCAGGACGAGGAGTCTGCTCTGTGATCTTGGGAAGTCTACGTCAGAACATGATCATCATCATCACAACAGTATGGACCACAACATGGAAAACAGAAGCTATCTACCTACCATGTTTATTTTTCTAGGAAGCGGCACAGGGGTTTCCGCTGATCCAGGGGTCGTATCTCCAGAGTCTTCAGATGCTTGTTTCTGGACGATCTCTTTCGATTGTATCTTTGGGGAAAGATCCATACTGGGTGATTTTTGACTGGCCTCGGAAGGCTGAGATCTGGGGGATAATTCCCCACCGGGAGATTTCGCCAAAGTTTCTCCCAGTTGTGGCTTTGGAGGGAGATCCTTCATTTGGGGTTTCGGAGGCAAGTCAGCTAGTTGAGGCTTTGGGGGCAGGTCCCCCAGTTGGGGTTTGGGGGGTAATTCTCCTGCTTTGGGGGTTAAATCTGCAGGCTGGGGCTTCAGGGGCAGATCGATACAAAGAGAAGCCGACTTTTGAAAGATTTCAGAGTGGTGGCTGGATTTATCTAGTGAAGGAAGATGAATCGTTTCTATTTTTCGTAACGCCACTGAAACAGAAAGCAGAAACAATTAAGAGGACTTCAGACCAAGCCTTTTTTTTCCTTTCCGTTTTCGCTCAAACAAATCTCATCCGTCTCCACTGCAATTTTACGACTGCCACTTTATTAAGCACAATATATTGATTTATAGTGGGACCCCCTGAGAGCAAAGGAAGAAAGGATAAGCGTGCAATCTCAGAAGCCCAAATGCAATACATACAGGGGGAGGGGAAAGGAACAGCTGTCTGCGGTTCTTTCATTTATCCTTTCTTTTTCTACGGCACCATGTTTTATTTGTTTATTTATTTCTTGCTATATAAAAAAAGAGAGAATTGTCTATGGAGATTCTCAAACTTCCAGGTCATGGTTGCCCCAAAGGTGTTTCCTTCCCCCCGCCCGCCAAAAAAAAAAAAAAAAGAATTGGACTTCCTTGTGTTTTTTTTTTTCCTTTGAAAACATTTTGCTTCTCATCCAAGAAGTTTCTGAGGAACTGGAGAAGCTTCTTGGACGAGAAGCGAAATGTTTTCAAAGAAGAAAATAAAGTTAAGTCCAGTTGCCTTTTGGGAAAGCAACTCTGGGAAGAAGAGAGGAAGGCTTACCTCGAACTACAAAGCAATTTAACCAGCCCAAAAGTATGGAAGGTAAAGAAGAGGGTAAAAAGAACGTTTTAAAATGGATCTTTAGCAGCCGCCCTTAAATTAAGACTTGGCCGCATGAAATTTTTAGTTTCTGAACTGAGAGGATTTAAAGAAAGAATGGAAAGAGAATTTTAAGGCGAAATTCTACTAGTTGAGAGGGGTTAAACTCGATTTCACTGAGGGCCGCATCAGGGTGGTATTTGACCTAGGCCAGGGTGGGCGTGGCCAGCTCGACATCACTTGTGTCGGGGGTGCCTGTGGGCGCCCGAGCACTCTGCCAGCGAAAACAGGCTCCCGAGCTTCGTTTTCGGCTGCAACGGCCTCCTGCAACTCTCTGCCAATAAAAATGGAGCTCGCGCACGGCCCTCGCAAGCACCGTTTTCCCTGGCAGAGGCACCGCGGGCCAGTCCTTTGCTGTTTCCAGGGCAGCCCTGCAGGCCAGATCTAAGCACCCTGTGGGCTGGATTCGGCCCACGGGCCTTGAGTTTGACACCCCTGTACTAGTTGCATTCCCACCTACTGGCTCTTAAAAGTAGTCGAATTACGGAGAGCAGATTGCAAGAATTTTCGTTTCAAACAATCTTTCAATGCAATTTTGCACCTCTTTCTCTCTCCTCTTCCATCGCCTTCCTTCCCTCTCTTTCTCTCTCTCCCCGCTCTCCTCTTTCGTCTCCTTCCTTCCTTCCCTTCCTCCCTCTTTCTCTCTCCACCTCTCCTCTCTCTCTCTCCTGTCTCCTCTTCCGTTTCCTTCCCTCCCTCCCTCTTTCGCTCTTTCCCCTCTCCTCTTCCATCTCCTTCCTTCCCTCCCTCCCTTTCTCTCTCCACCCCTCCCCTCTCTCTCTTCTTCCATCTCCTTCCTCTCTCTCCTCCCTCCTCTCTTTCTCGCCTCTTCCTTCTCCTTCTCCTTCCCTCCCTCCCTCCTTCTGTCTGCTTGTCTCCCCCCCGCCCTTCCTCCCTATCAAAGGCAGATTTCATAGGCCTCCTACATTCATTCACTACCCTGGCTTAGATTGTCCAGGCTTCTTTTGAAGTGAAAACAGCTCGGCACAATACATGCTCACACAAAATCCCCCTTGAGTCAACTTCGACAGTTCTTAATAATGAAGTTCTTTCATGGTATTTTTTTTTCACCCAAGTTCTCATTTAACTGACAGCCCTGGGATATTCTTGTGGTTTCCCATTCCAGGACTAACCTTGTCTGACCCTGCTTAGCTTGTTTCATGATCAGACGTACCTTTTTGAGGTAGTTTGGGAAGCACTCTTGGGCCCAGGGCAGTCTTAGCAGTCCCGGTGCTGATGAAGACATACACAACAGGTTAAATTCTATAATAATAACAACAACAGCAATAACAACCACAACAACAAACCATCGTGTTTAGAATAGAGGCATCCACCGGTAACATTTTTAGACTGAAAATCTTAACAGTGGCGTTTATTATCATTTTTACCACGCTTACTAAACAAACAGTACATCCCTGGTTGACTTGTTGGAATTCCCATTAAGGAAGGTCACAAACTCCTATCGTGAGACCAAAAGACGCTGCAAACTTCGTAAATGTGGGTTGGTTGCCCAGGGTGTGACTGATTGCAGTGTGACTGCGGGGATGGTGCAACAATTGTAACGTCTTGGAACCCTGGCAAAGGATGGATCATAACCCACTTTTTCCCAAAGCCATCGTAACTGTAAGCTGTGAGCCATCATTAAATGAATGGTTGTTAAGTCAAGGACTACCATTGAAGGCAAACTGTGCAATGGCTAGAAGAAGCTAAGGCAGGGGTATCAAACTCGATTTCAGTGAAGGCTGCGTCAGGGTAGTGTTTGACCTCAGTGGGGTGTGGTAGGCGTGGCCAGGGTGGGCGTGGTCAGCATGACATCACGTGTCAGGGGGCACCTGTGGTAGCCCGAGCACTCTGCCAGCTAAAACAGACTCCCAAACTCCGTTTTTGGCTGGGATGGCCTCCTGTAGCCCTCTGCCAGTAAAAACGGAACTTGGGGGGGACCACGCATGGTCCTCCCAAGCTCCATTTTTGCTGGGAGAAGCACTGCAGGCCAGTCCTTTGCTACTTCCAGGGTGGCCCTATGGGCCAGGTGTGAGCACCCCACAGACAGAAACCAGCCCTCAGGCCTTGAGTTTGTCACCCCTGAGCTAAGGAAAGAGAGATGGGAATGTATGCGTGCGCACGCTTATATGTGTGTGTATAAAACCCTTTACAACATGAAAACCAGATCAATTTTCGCACTCGTGTGTGAGGACAGTTTAAAAAGTATAAAAAATAACATCAACACATAAATATCTCACCCGGACTGTTGAGACATCCCTTCAAACTTGTTTGCCGTTTTGGTAGCTGGTGGCCCCAGATCATTACCTGGTAAAGTAAAAAATATTGAACATTTAACATTTTTTCAAAGTAGCAGCCCATGACATTAAATGAATAGCATCCTGAGTAGACATGGTAGAAAGATTTGGATATATATATATATTCTTATCTGTAATAATTTAAAGCAAAAGATGTGTTACTTTCCAACACACTAAAGATAGTCCCCGACTTAACGACCACAATTGAACCCAAAATTAAAGTAAGACAGTTAAGTGAGTTTTGATCCCTTTTTTACGACCTTTCTTGCTATAGTTGTTAAGTGAATCACTGCAGTTGCTAAGTTAGTAACCCGGTTGTTAAATGAATCTGGCTTCCCCATTGACTTTGCTTGTCAGAAGGTCACAAAAGGAGGATCACAAGACCCCTGGGACAATTGCAACCATCACAAATATGAGCCGTTTGCCAAGAGTCAGAATTCTGATCAGGTGACTGTAGGGATGCTACAACGGTCATAAATATGAAAGACAGTCACAAGTCACTTTTTTAAAGGGCTGCTATAACTTTGAACGGTCACTAAACAAATGGTTGTAAGTTGAGGGCTATCTGTAATTTGAGTCAATAAAACCAGATTGCTATTGATGAAAGAATTTTCAAAATGAAACACTCAATCCAACCTAATGTCAAACTCTATTTCATCTACATCAAGGGGGTCAAACTCGCAGCGTCATGTTGCTGTCATGTGACTTACCGCCAACTTTTTTCCCTTTCGCAGAGCTGGGGTAGACGTGGCCTGTGCGTGACACACCCGGCCTGCGGGCTACCAGTTTGACACCCCTGATCTACATCATTCAGTACTGACTGCATCTCAGAGTCTGTCCGTCTGTCTATCTATATCGTCTCTCTCTCTCTCTCTCCCCACCCCTCTCTCTCTCATTTTCCCCAAAATAAGACTGGGTCTTATATTAACGTTTGCTCCAAAAGACACATTAGGGATTATTTTGGGGGAAATACAGTACTAAAATGTGTCCATCTGGCTGATAATCTTAACTGGGGCTTATTTTGGGGGTAAGACTTACATTACAAGCATCCTGAAAAATCATACTAGGGCTTATTTTCCAGTTGAGTCTTATTTTTGGAGAAACACAATATGTATGCATGCATGTATATGCATGTATATATCTATGAATGTGTCTATCTATCTATATCTATCTTTCTATCTTATTTATTTCATATATCTATCCAATTCTATATATATAATATTTATCTGTCTGTCTATCATTATCCACCTATCTACTCTATCTATCTATCTATCTATCTATCTATCTATCTATCTATCTATCTATCTACCTACCTACCTACCTATCTCACTCACTCAATCTATCTATCTACCTATCTACCTACTCACTCACTCACTCACTCACTCACTCACTCACTCACTCTATCTATCTATCTATCTATCTATCTATCTATCTATCTATCTATCTATCTATCTAATTTGTCTTATAAAATTTGTCGGCTGCCCATCTTACCATAAGGTAACTCTGGGTGGCTTACAGCCATAAAAATATATAGCTACATTAAAACACAATTTAAAACCAAATATTTAAATCTAAGGACATGTAGGGAAGGCGGGGGTAGAATGGGGGGAGATGGGACCTATAGACACTCATCAACCGTCTCCACTGTTGCTGTTCCCACACTGGGGTGCCAGGCCAACTGGCACAGCCAGAATCTATAAAGGAAGCAGATCAACCCAAACGATCTGGGCATGTACAAACTCTGCACTCTTTGTGGCTAAGAAGCTAGGTGGGAAATTGAAAAAGAATGAAAACTTGACCTCACACTTGTTTTCAACTTTTGTCACAATTTTGTTCAGATATGGAAATCATTATTCCTGTAGGCATGGATGGATAGATTTTTTTTTTTAAAGTATAACAAACTTCTCTTGTATTTTTCCTCTGCTAAACCTTGACTACGCTGTGGCACTTTCATATTGTTTTACAGGAGCTTGCAATTCAAAGTATCATTGGTTCCCACTGATCTTCAGAAGTCCTGTTTAATAAGACTACATAATCACTCAGATTTCAGAGGAAAACACTAGCAGAGTGTATGTGAGTACACACCTTACACCCATAGGCAACTCCTTCAATCAAACATGCTGGGTCCTGAGATTACACCCCACAAAATCATCTTCTATTTACAAAAACCATTAGTTCTGTTTTCCTAGACCTGCTACAAGCAACACGTTCAAACTTTCAGAGAGGAAATGTTCTGGAGTCTAAGTAATGCATTTTGAATTGGCTAGGGATAGCTAGAACACCAAAGCAAATGTTCTCTTGTGATTGATTTGATAAGTTGATTAATTTATAGTTTGCCCAACTCCAATAGACTCTGGAGTTAGCCTTGGGCGCCATAAATAAAAATGGTTGGGAGGGTAATTATGCAGAGGAAGTACTAGAAATGTGCTCCACGTTCCCGACTGATTTAGGCTATCTAAAACCGTAACCCTTTTCTCCATCAAAGCTTTTCTAATCTGGAAAGCTAAGAGTGGAAATCAGAATGGGGAGATCTCAACAAGTTCAGACCAGTCAAGATGCATGAAAGTCCAGGTAGAAGAAACTCTTAAAGAAAATGGCCTTAACAGTTAAGTTGACAAGAAAGCAGAATATTAGAGATAGGAAAGGTATATAGTGGTGCTTAAAAAGGTTGTGAACCCTTTTGAATTCTCTCTTTTTTTTAATGAATACGACCTAAGGCTTGATCTGTTCTCCACCTGAATCCTAAAATAAGAGAATAAAATTATACCAATCGGTTAAAAATATTATACTTTAATTTATTTATCGGGGAGGATGATCCAAAAGCACATGTTTGTGTTCTCTTTATCTACTTTTAGGATCTGTGTGGAGAACAGACAATGGTTTAGCTCATGTTTATGCACAAACATTGAAATTATGCACAAATTTAAAAGGGTTTAAAAACTTTTACGAACCCCTGTAGAGGGTGTTGAAACTCATCTTGTTAGATGCGCCTCCCTTTTTACTGAAAAAGTTACTTAACATTCAAAATGTACACACAAAATTACAAAGAATGGAGGTCATAATAAAAATGGACAAAACTCAGGTGATCTCATCCATCACATGAAAACTGAAGATGCACTAACACCAAAAAACAATGCACAATACAATATCTGAGTGTCCCATTCTTCCCCTCACCTATCACTTTCACTACAGATTCAGAAGCTGTGTTGTAATTTATATTTAATTTTATTTTTGATCTTCTGCTGTTTAATTATGCTCAGGTTTGATCTAGTGGTCAAGGCACTAGGATAGAAAGTAGGAGACCATGAATTCAAATTCTGCCTTACTCATGAAAACCAGCTAGGTGACTTTGAGCGAATCACCAGGAGACAATGAGTTCTAGTCCCGCCTTAGGCATGAAAGCCAGCTGGGTGACTTTGGGCCAATTACCAGGAGATTGTGAGTTCTAGTTCCACTTTTGGCACGAAAGTCTTCTGGTTGACTTTGGGCCAATCACTCTTTCTCAGACCAACTCACCACACAGGGTTGTTGTTATGGGAAAAATAGGAGGAGGAGTTTTAAGCATGTTTGCCACCTTGAGCTATTTTTTTAAAAAATAATAAAAGTGGGATATAAATAAATACAGTTTGGTAGTCAAAGCAATATATAGTTCAATAGATTCTTGTTCAGCTTTTTTTGCGCTTCAGGGAAGGACTATATCCTCTATAAATCCAGAAATATATTTGGCTATCATTATATGTCACCTGCACTGATGTGTAAGACACCTGAATATGTAGCAACTGCTGATAACCTTATAAGGACATTAATTTGATTTTTAATCTGATATAAAGTCCACTCATCTACAACGCCACCGATTAAAAATTTCAGCTTTCACTAAGTTTTGAATCAATGTTCCATTTCTATTAAATTTCAGTGGTCCTTTAGAGCCACTTTTTAAAATGTTGGACATAAATGAACCACTGAGAGTTTTTCAGTTTACTAATCTTTATGCTGTTGGGACTCAAAACCATTCACAATAAAGCACGTGGTTCAAACAATCCTTAGACCCCCTTTTAGAGTTAAAATTAAAAACAGATAACCTAATGCACAGAATCATAACTTAATCAAGTAAAAATCTAAGGCCTCTGAATCGTTCTGAAGCTATAACTGAAACATTATGTTTTTATTAATCTCTTTTTAGAGCATTAAAATGTTAATTTAAACCATTTTCCGCAGAACACAAACTTACTGTAATGGGTTAGAGTAAGGTTAACAGCTGGATGACAATAGCTTCAAAAGTTTTCCTAGGATGCTTCAAAACTTACTGTCTCCTCGTCTCCCAAAACAAAATGTGTACTTATCCAAAAACGTTGTTCTAAAAAACTTGCTGGCTTTACAAGGAAGTCATACATTTCTATCTATCACAAGTTTCAGAAAAAAAAAAAAGAGCTATAAGACTTTGGAGTAATTCTAAAATGTCAGCAGGAGCATCTAATTTATAATCAGAGGTTTCAGCTCAATTAAAACATCATATCCAACCATAGTTGGTTCTAATGTTGTAGAGAATTGCAATCACAGCTTGAACTTTCATATGTAAGGCTTTTTTTTTTTTACCTATTTCCATTTTGCATTTGTTTCTATATTTTTCCACATAGAAGGATTCCAGACACATAGTAATGTAACATTTGTCAAGACGTCACACCAAGCAACAATGGACATCATGTTTCACAAAGATCAAACCATTAACACACAACACCAGTGAGGACTAGGATCCTCTACAAACTGGCAATTTTATCTCCCACTACAGTAAATCATAACGAGGATCCAATCAACTAGCAATCAGCATTAAGTTGGCATTAGATAAGAGTTAATGAAATTCAAGGGGAAGCTGGACTTGGATCATTTTTGGGAACGTAATGATTCCAGGCTGATTCCTCTCTTGACTCCACCCCCTACTTGTCCTCCTCCTGTAAGGGCTGAAACTAAATCAGTATGAATATTATAATAACTCACCCCAAGACATTTGGCCCTTATTCTGGGGCCCATGAGGTTGTGGGCTGGGTGGGTCTGATAGGGTTCTTTTGTGTCCAGGGGGTGGGGGAGGGGGCTTCTTCTTAGACAGGGTGGAGCTGCCACTAGAGGCTGGAGTGCTTAATGGGAGAGTTGAAGGTGGGCACGTTGGACCTGCGGAGATAAACAAATATCTTCTTATCGACACAAAGAATGGGTTAACACCAATACAGCACACACTGGAAACTCAAAATCAGACAACAGGAAAATACAGCAAAGGACTGAGGGAAAACAACAAAAAACTAGCCATTCCAAAAAGTGGAAAACTTAGCAGAATTCTTTTGCTACTATTAACTTTTTCAACAATTACTATGATTGGAGAAGCAGATACACGGTTCCAGAGAGAAGGTAACACAAAGAAATTTAAGATACTAAGATGCAGGAAGAGAAATTCGCACATAACGCCAAGTAAATCCACTGAATCCAATCTGGGTTGGTTACTGGGACCAGAGATTTAATATTCTGAGCTTTCAGTTTCAGGCTGCTGGGAAGGCAAAACCTCTGGTCTCAGGGACCAACCCAGATTGGATCCTGCAACATTATCCTGGGACGTGTATATTCGCCTTCATTCATAAATCAACGGCCTCATATTACACATAAAAACCATGATTTCAGCGGATGTACTTAAGAATAACTGGGTGCAATATATATAAACAGTCATACATTTAAAAATGCAAATATTAAACAAAAATATCATCTCTGGCCTGAACCTTAAATTTCGGCAATAGAGCTAATGCAAAGAGTGTATTATTTAAATGGTGATTATGCACCACAAAAATAATCTCCACTATATTGAGCCTTATCAATAAAATAAGTTAATTACTATTGTAAATCCCATTCATTAAAGTTGGTCTTTTATATATATATATACCAGCTTGATACCTGTGCTTTGCTATGAAACTATGTGATCAGGCTTAGTTTTGGGGGAGGAAAATAAGAGGGGAAAATGGTGCTTCTCCCAACCAGCATCCATCAGTATTCATCTGGTTAGGATCCTGTCAGTGTGTGAGAGTGTTGTGGGCTATTTGGAAACTGAAATAGTATTTGCTGTGTGAGCAAGACAGCAAGGAGCCTGGGCATGGCTTAGCTCAACTGTTCAAGCTGGTTGCTGCTGTAAAATTAAAATTGAAACTCCTCTCCTCTGCTTGTGTTTTGTATTTGAAACAGATTTCTTTTCAGGTGGGGTGGGGGAGTAGAACACTTTAGCATCAGAGCATGTTAATAATAATATAGGAAATGCTCTGATGGTCATTTTGAAAAATCCTTTCTTATGAGCACCTAGAAGCCAAGAGGAACATAGGTGCCAAATTTCAAGTTTGCAGGCTTCACGGTTCTGGAGATTTTGTGATTTTGGTATTTTGCTTTTATATAGAGAGATTAAGACTAGATCTGACTCACTGTTTACCAGTAAAAATATCCATCAACATTGATATGGGTAAAACTAAGCAATAATTTAACTTATCTAATGTTAAATCTAAAAGAATAGTGTTGACAGACAAAAGTACACATTTAATGTAGTAAAGGTCCCAAGTTCAAAACACCAACAAGCCAAGGAGAATGATGATTAATCGTGATGAAATAGACTATTCTTGATTATGCGTTTATCTATGTTGAAGCTCATTTGAATTGAATCACATATCTTTTAAACAGAATGGTTTAGCAAAGTCTAGTCTTGGAATAGATACATTTTAACACTGTCATATCTGTTGTTTGCTTTTATGTTAATTTTAGATTATTTATATTTTTTCCTTTGACTCATTATTCCTCCAGAAAGCAACTGGCTGTAGGATTATAAGCAAATACATTATTATTATTATTGTCTTTTAATGACCCCATAATCCCTTGCATTGGAATGGAGTTGGGGCAACTGAATGGAGCCGAGTGTTTACTGGCCAGATGCCCTTCCTGTCACCAATGCTGAGTTTGCAGTAGAGATAATCTCGCTCTGCCCAGAGAGAGAAATATCTGCCTCTACTTAGGATCGAACTCACAGCCTCCTGATTGCAAGGTGAGAGCTTTACCTCTAGGCCACCGTACCATTCATACAAATGCATTAACGAAATAGATTTAATCAAATTATTCATTTTTGATAGTGTGCATGCTAAGCAACAACACAACACATATCTCCCTTCATTCTGTTCAGTGCAAGCCAGGTTAGGCAACGATCATTTGTTAATCACAAGTTTCTCTGCATTGTCAATTAAACTATTTTACTTGAAACAAGGCAATGTATGCCACCTGAATTACAGAATAATTAAATCAGATTAAATCTGTGTCCATTGGTCCTTTATATCAAGAGGGAGCATACATCAATTGATAAGCTGGGGGGGGGAGTGTTTCACCTCTTTTAGGTGTCTGTCATAGTTGGACATGGCTCCCGTTGACCTTATATAGACACTTCCCTTCAGGGCCACCAAGCCCCATAAAGCAAAATAGTTCATTTATGGAAAGAATGGAAAGCTATGGGTGTTGTTGAGATGTTGAGATTCTAAAAAGTGCAGAGAAGGGCAGCTAGGATGATTAGGGGACTGGAGACTAAACCATATGAAGAACGGTTACAGGAACTGGGCCTGGCTAGTCTAGTGAAGAGAAGGACCAGGGGAGACAGGATAGCAGTCTTCCAATATTTGGGGGGCTGTCAGAGAGAGGAGGGGGTCAAGCTGTTTTTCAAAGCACCCAAAGACCAGACAAGGAATAATGGATGGAAGCTGATCCAGGAGAGATTCATCCTGGAAATAAGGAGAAACTTTCTGACAGTGAGAACAATCAACCAATGGAACAGAAGTTGCCTTTGGAAGTTGTGGGAACTTCATCACTGGAAGCTTTCAAGAAGAGACCGAGCTGCCATCTGCCAAAAATGGAGTAGGGTCTGCTTGGGCAGAAGGGTTGGACTAGATGACCTACAAGGTACCTTCCAACTCTGTTCACCTGAGGGCTTGAATCGCCATGGGCATGTGCAAAGGCAATCAACAAAGTTCTTCCACCTTGCTTGCAATAGAGATTCCTTCAGCTAAAATGTGGCTGCAAAAGTTCTTTCGAACCCAGGCCTAGGTTTCCAGTTTGCTAGCCAAAGTTAAGCGCTCTTGGTATCATCTACCCACTTTATTTTCTAAGAATGCTTCCAGGTTAGACTTGGGGGTATAGGTAGTCCTCGACTTACAATGGTTCATTTAGGGACTGTTCAAAATTACAACGGCACTGGAAAAAATGTGATTTGCAACCGTTTTTCACACAACCATTGTAGCATCCCTATGGTCACATGATCAAAATTCAGATGCTTGGCAACTGGCATGTACTGATGCCGGTTGCAACTGTCCCAGGGTCATGTGATTCCCCTTTCATGACCTTCTGACAAGCAGAATCAACAGAGAAGGCCAGATTCACTTAACGGTGTTACCAACTTAACAACTGCAGTGATTCACTTAACAACCGCAGTGAGAAAGGTCATAAAATGTGGCAAAGCTTACTTAACCATCTCGCATAGCAACAGAAATGGTTTGGCTCCCAATGGTGGTTGAAACTCGAGGACTACCTGTACAACCTATGAATATTACTTAAAAGTAAGTATTTTTGAAGGTGGTGTCTTGCTTTGCAACATGCAAGCTTTCTATTTCAATTAAATTTAAAATACGGAAGATGCTAGTACGTTTTAACATCCCCCCCAATTTCTGATAAAAATCGTTGCAAGGATCCTTACCTCCTGGAATAAATAAAACCCTGCCCTTCCTCACAAAAATAAAGATTTGCTACTTTTCATTATTAAGCAATAAACTATCAGGAGATACTATGGAACAGATCTTATCATACTCTATCTTGAGATATTACCTTGATATTGCCGCTATTTAGCAATAATTAATTTGACTGTTAAAATTTGATTTTTTTAAAAAAAATGTAATTTTGGGGTGGGTTCTGCTATCAAATATATGTAATCAATCTAGCTTTGGGGAGAAATCCCTCAATCTTCTGTTCAATTATATGTGAAATCTCATTAAAAACGTTCTTCCAAAAATCTGGAATGTTATCATATTTGTGCACTGCAGACCGAAGGCATAACACATTTACAGAAGTACGGCCTATTGGCATCCTTCTATTAAAACAATGTATTTCATATGTGCTCAGAATGCAAAAATTATAGATAACACAGCTCTTCGGTGGAATAAAACAATACAGTTGAGGATTATATATGTGGATCAGATTGGGGTAAAATTGTAGAGGTGACATAGAAATAGGATTTGCATTTTATTTTACTTATTTTTTATTCTTTCTTTAATATATGGTATTAGTACTGTACTGTGTTTTATATTTAATATTCTGATATGGCCTAATGGTTATTCACTACAATATTACTGTTATTGCATTCTATTACTACTATTAAAGTAGTACTATTACATGTCAAAGATTAGAGAATGCTCCCTTCAAGCTTATAGTCTTAGCAATAATTCACGGAATATTTTCAAATTTTGTTTGAAATTCTTACCAGTTAGGTTCCACTGATGTTCAAACACATTTCCTGTTTTCATGCTAATTAAGAATCCTCTAAGGGTTTTATCTACTTTACGGTAGTTTCATCAACATTTAATTCAAATAGGAAGGAGCCAATATATTTTTTTGAAATTATATCTGTAGTTGCGATAAAGAAAGTGGACCATTCCCGGGACTACTAACAAAGATTCAGAAGTATTTGTTAATACTTGTGTAAAAGTTTCGAAACAAAAGCAGTCACTTTTATTTCAAGAATGCTTGAATTCTGTGTCAGCAGAATGATTCCTCTGAGTATAGTCCAGTAGGGTTTCAAATTTGTTTACCACCGGTTCTGTGGGCGTGGCTTGGTGCGCGTGCTTTGCGCCTGCGCACGCAGATGGTTTGCTACTAATCTTGTCCTGCAAGCCTGCACTCTCCCTGTGTCTTCAACAGCTGACGCGCAGCAATCTGCTGTGCCGCGCGAAGCAGCTGAGGTTGAAAAGCAGGAAATAAAGACGGGTGGGAGGGCCCAGCAGCTGATCATCGGAGCGAACTGGTTTGCTCACAGATGATCATTGGAGCTACCAGTTCAGCCAAACCAGGCCGAATCGGTAGAATACCACCACTGGTGGAGTCTGCTTGTACTACTGCAACCACTAAAACAAAGAATTAAGGCTCCCTTGTCCTTTATTCCATCAGCGTATTTATCTGTGACACCAGCCCTTCTCATTCTGATTTGCCAGGTGAGAATAGCGATTGCAGAGAAGGCATCTGTGTCTAAAAAAATTATACAGTTATTCCCCAACTTACGCCCACAATTAAAAGCAGAATTTCCATGGCTGTTAAGTGAACATGGTTCCCAACATTCACAACTTTTTTTTTTTTGCAGTGGATGCTAACTGACTCACTGCAATTGTTAATTGAATGATGCAGTCCTTAAGCAAATCGCTTGGCTTGTTGGAAGCTGGCCGGGAAGGTTATAAATAGTGATAACATGGCCCCAGAATTATGCAAATGTCATGCTGGTTGCCAAGCATCTGAATTTTATTCTATCTTTCTGGGGGGAAAAATAATGGGGTCATTTAATTGCTTGGAAAAATACTCTGCTACCTGTTCATTACACCTTAGTAGGCATGCACAAAACTAGCTGTTTGCGGATACTAATATGCATACTTCCATGTTGGAAGCATCGATATGACAGTGATAATATTGTTGCCCAGGGGACACGCAGTTGGGGGCTCCTTTTGCATCGTCACGAAGCTTTTGAACTGCTGGTTTGGTGGGACCTGGAGCATGTGACAGGAGCTCAACACATCCCACAGCAGCAGCGGGTCTCGAACGCAAGGCTGCCAATTGTCATCCCTGCCTTCTTAACACAGGAGCTGGCCCTGCTCGTTTTGTTCAAAATATTTATTTGAGATATTGCTAGTTGAAGATTTCTGTGAGTCAAAGTCTTAAAATTGCAGTTTGAAAAAACACATTGACAGAATAACTAGAAGAATCTAAACATATTCTATGAAGATTTTGCTCAGCAAGTTTTCTTTATCTGTCTTTTCTGATTAAAAACAGTCTCTTTTTTTCTGGAATTTTTAATATTGCATGCTACTCTATGGAAAAAAAACATAGTTGCATAGTTATATAATTGCAAAATATTAATGCCTGCCTATATAATTCATTGACCAGAATTTTTGGAATTTATAGCAATGCCCCTTTAAAATGTGACTCAGCTTTATAAAATACACATAAAAGAGAAATAAGTTGTTTGCACTTCTGTCAAGATGCCTAGTGAAACAAACTGCTACTCATCACCCGTGTTCGCCACACCATTTGAAAATCCTCTTCCAGAAAGCTAAAATTAAACAGTTAAGTTTCTATAGGATTGGCGGCAAAACAGCAATCGCGCCCCATTCCTGCAACACCTCACAACAGTGCCAAACAAATACCTTTTCCAGAATTTCTTGGAGGAAGTGGGGGCCCATCTACAGTTGTTGGTGAAGTGGCAGAGTCGATGCTGGCAGAGACAAAAATTTGATGTGGGAAGGCGCCATAGGAGAGTCTCTGCTTGTCTCGTGGAGTGCCAAGGCCGGGAACAGCCATTTTGTCTTGAGGAGAAATACTGGAAGAATGACAAAAACTCTGCGGTCTCAGGGAGCGTTCTTTCTTAATCGGGCTAGGCTGTGGGAAACAATAACAACACATTTATTTCAAGTTGCCTTCTCTCTTTAACTAATAAAAGTCAAAACTTTCCAGCTGAATAACAGGAAATGACATTGTTGGGTAAACTACCGAGGCATGAACAGTGATTTTCACTTTTGTCATATAAAGTTTCCTTATTTATTTCAGAGATGGGTACAATTTTGCATTGGACATGTCATGAGAAAGAGAGAAAAAATTACTCCCAGGAAGACATTCTTGAGCACATGGAAAAGTCATGAACTCTTCTAAACTCCCTGTGAATCTTAGAACTGGAGGAGGCGAAGAAAATAGGTTAGTGAATTATACATGGACATATGGTTTCTAAATATATTTTGTTATTGTCAGGCGCAAGCAACCAGAACTACTTATGAACAAGTCATTAACTTTACTACCATCTACATTTTACAAGAATATCACCTGTCTGTCTACCTTGTAAGGACTCCAAGCTAGGCCCTTGCTTGATCACTCCTTCCAACTTAGTTGGCAGTTTCATAATAATTATTGAGCCCAGCTCTAAATAGGCTATTAGTATTTAGTTCAAGAGCTAACTAGCATTCATCATATGAAAACACATGCAATGAATCTACTCCAGGATTCTACTCCTATCCTACTCCAGGATTTCTGAAGCTACATCACTCAGAATCATTAAGTTGGATAATAGAGTTTTGATTCATCCTCTTCCTCCTTCTCCCCGCACCCCGCATATATTTGTCAGGGCTCTGGTAGTTACCCCCATTTAAATCACGAGTCTCTAGCTGGATTTTCAAAGCTCAAAAAGATTTATTAGGAAAAGACTGCCTGGGTGTAGCTGACTCTGAGACACATCATTCATTGTCACCCTTGACCATGGTTTTCCCTCATATATTCTCCAATGGGACACATCCATAGCCAAGAGTCATCAATCATACTCTCCAGTTAGAATTCTGCACAGCAGAAACTTTGGTCGCCTGGAAGCTATCTATGAAAACATTCATGGAATAGAGTTTTGGTTTTGCAAGCTGCTACTCTACTCCCCGCTCCCTTTCTGCTGGCAACTCTAAAAAGACCATAGAAATCTTTCATGAGTTGACAATATTATTATACCCTACAATCTATGCATAACTAGTTTGATATGATATACAAATTCACCCAGCTTTGTGAAAGCCATTTATTAATGGTCCATGCAATATATGCATGGGCTATTAAAAAATCGCTTTCACAAAGCTGAATGAACTTGTATGTCATACCAAACTAGTTATGCATAAGATTGTAGGGTATAATAAACACATTGCTTGTAAACCACTCATTTATTATTGGCTACTGCAAATAAACCTAAGTGCAGGCCAGTTGCTGAATGCCCAACTTGGCTAGGGAAGGATCCCCAGCCATTGGACCTTCAGAACAGGGTCACAAGAAGCCTTGAGGAGGCCAGCCATAACTTCAGGTGGTCTCTAAGTGACTGATGCTAAATTGAGGACTAACTCAGGTAGCCCTTGACTTAAAACCAAAATTTAAGCCCCCAATCTTTGTTGTTATTAAGCGAGATAGCTGTTAAGTTAGTTTTGCCCCATTTTTTAGATCTTTCTTGCCACAATTGTTAAGTGAACCACTGCAGTTGTTAAGTTAGCAACACATTTATTATACCCTACAATCTATGCATAACTAGTTGTTAAGTCCCAAAGGTGCTTTTTCAAGTGGCAACTGGACTTTCTAGGTTTTTTTTTTGAAGACATTTCACTTCTCATCCAAGAAGCTTCTTCATCTCTGACTGAATGGTGGAAAATGGAAGAATTTATCATCTTCCCCCTTCTCTTTTAACGACCCCATAATCCCTTGTGGGGTGGAGTCTGGGCAACTGAATGGAGCTGAGTGTTTACTGGCCGGATGCCCTTCCAGTCACCAATGGGGAGGTTTGTTCAGCAGATTTATTCTCTTTTTAAAAAAAAATTAAAAAAATACTTTACAAAAAGTACAAAAAAGTAAAATATGCAAATATACAAAAATAAAAAAAATAAGTCATACAAATAAGCATCACCACACGTTCTATAATAAGACAAATCATATTTCTAACACATTTGATAGTGATTTAATTATCTCATAAAAGGTATTAAATGGCAGTTACTTCTTATCTCTTGTAAACTAAATGTTATCTATATTATATTGTATATAATAGTCTATTATTATTGAATTATAACTATGTTTTTATGGATAAGTCCTTTATATAGCTTAATTAATGAGAAAGAAAACTAAAACTAGTGTTTTATAAAATCCTATCCTTTAGTATATACGTAATAATATGTTTCATAGATTCATTATTTCCCCTTATTTTATACACTTTTGTTTTATGGTCTAACCAATCGTACCATTTCTCCCAAATCAAATAATATTCAGAGTCATCTTTTCCTTTCCGTTTTAGTGTAAGCCTCTCCATTTTGGTGCATTCATAAATTTTCTGAATAATAATATGTATAGGCGGTAAGTTAGGCATTTTCCAATACATATTCTCATTGTGCCCAGAATGAGAAATTATCTTCCTCTACCTGGGATTGAACTCATAGCTTCCTGACTGTGAGGCGAGAGCTCCACCACTAGGCCAACGTACCATTCTAATGGAAGAATTTATGCTCTTATATAAATCCAGAGGCCTCTTGAAAAAGCACCTTTGGGGAAACTATAACCTGGATCATTGAGGATCTCCACAGACAGTTGTTCAGTGAATCCCCATTGACTCTGCTTGTCAGAAGGTCAAAAAAGGTAGATCCCATGTCACTTGGACACTGCAACCATCATAAGTACGAGTCAGTTGCCAAGTGTCTGAATTCTGATCACATCTACAAGGGTCGTAAGTGTGACAAAAGGTTTCAAGTCACTTTTTTCAGTGCTGTTGGCAACTACGTAAGGTCACTAAATGAGCTGTTGCAAACCAAGGACTACCTGTAACACCCCCCCCACCCCCCCAAAAAATTCTTCTTTACCTTGTCATCCAGGTCATCGTCACTTTCATCCATTTCTTCCTGCCGAAGGTTCCACTCGTATTCGACGTGAACGTGTGGATTTAGTTTCCCTACTTTGGCCTGAGAAAGCTGAAATAACACGTAATTCAGAAATGTCGTCTTTTGTGTTTGTCAACAGCATTTTCTCTTCTTGGCAGAGACATTTTGTACTATATTGAAACGCCCGGCTTTGTTCTGATTTATTGAAAATCCTTTGTAATCGTAAAAGAATTTTTTTTTTTAAAAAAATACAGCATGGTAAACTTTCTCACGCAAGGGTTCACGCTTTCATCATCATCTTCTTTTAATGACCCCATAATCCCTTGCGGGGTGGAGTCAGGGCAACTGAATGGAGCTTGCAGAGTGTTTTAATGGCTGGATGCCCTTCCTGTCACCAATGCAGAATTTTGTTCAGCAGATATATTCTCAGTTGTGCCCAGAGAGAGGAATATCTGCCTCTACCTAGGATTCAACTCACAGCCTCCAGAGTGTGAGGCGAGAGCTCCTCCTCTAGGCCCCCGTACCACTCCTAAGGGTTCATACTTTGAAATTAAGAATTCTTTTTTTGGTTTTTTGCTTGGGGGGAACTAGAAAAAGGCTTAAAAAGAACAAAATATCAGTCTGGAATCTCTGTCTGTAGGTGATTCATCACATTCTACATATGAAAAAAAAAGTGAGGGTGAGGGAGAGAGAGAGAGAAATTCATGCAAATTTTCCCTTTCCATCTTTTAATTGTAAACACGCATGATTTTCTTACCAAATCTTCACACTGAATAGCTTTCTGTCTCTTTGCCGTGTCCAGGGCAGTTTCCCCAGCTTGATTTACTGCAAAATGTCAGGATAAAATTAAAACTACCAAATTTTGCAATGAAGTGCGATATTCATTAAGCGTTAAAAAAAAAAGATGCAATGAAAATCAAATGGTCGCTATATAGAAGAAGGACACCTGACAGGTAGTTCTCAATTTACAGTTCACTTAGTGCTCATTTGAAGTCACTAGACTATCACAACAACAAGCCAGTGGTCATTAAAAAATGCGATCACAGGGGTACCTCACAACCATCATGATTTACAACCATAATTCTGGGCTGAATTGTGGTCATAAATTGAAGACTACCTGCAATTAGAATAAGTGGTAATTTATATGTGAGTCAGATGGACCAGATAGACTTCCGAAGAACAATACAGGGTGTTTTTTTGTTGGCAAATATGGCAAAATGAAAATAATGTTTTGCTTTTGACCATGTAAGCAAGTAGGCTCAATCTGGGTTCCTTGATTACCGGTGCAAAAGCCAGATACAAGAATCAAGGAAACAGAATTACAAATTATGGCCCTTCCCGTATTATATTTCATTTATGAACGTTGGGACCACACTTGAAAATTGTTCATTATTCAACTTTGATCAAGGCATCTTGTTTTAACAAGTTAACTTCAAAAGCAGTGACAGCTGAGGCAAATCATCAAAGGCCTAGCTGAAATATGAACAAAATGCAAATCAAGAATCATCAGAAGATTGCACAGCTTTTTAGGGTAATTACTAGAGGAATATGGATAATTACTTTCAGTCAACTGTGCCTATTTTATAGAGAAGAGAGAGAGAGAGATGGGGGAGAGAGAGAGAGAGGAGGGAGGGAGGGAGAGAGACAGAGAGGGAGAGAGAGAGACAGAGAAAGTACTAGAAGTATATATTCACAGACACACACACACACACACACACACACACACACACACACACACACACA